ATATATATATATATATATACACACACACACACACACACACACACACACACACACACACACACACACAAATATAATAGAATTGGACAATATAGTAAGCTTCAATTCGGAACTTGAAAAGTTTGAATTATGATTGTCTATGTATTATAATTAAATAGTACTACATTATAGGATAAAATGTTATAAATATCTTTGATCATTTAAAAAAAATTAATTAACTGTTTTTTGTTTTAATTAAAGATGACTCACTTTTAGCTAAATGAAGCATCAAATCAAAAAACATAACAATGTCTTTATTACACCACATAATGTTTGTATTGCCTACACTTATTCTGGGTGTCCACAAGCTAAAAATATAATTGACAATACAAGGGTTAGAGCTTTTTTAGATTTGGCTTGTAGAATTATGATTATATGTAAGGCTATGCACACAGAATTCATTAACATGATGCTGTAGTAATATATTCTTATTATAATGTCCAGGTTTGCATAAGTGCTTATGAAATTTGAAAGTCATGGAATTGCTTTACTGGTGCTGTACGAGTGTTTAAACTTTCAAAATATTTTGAATAAAAAATATTTTAAATACTGAACTGAATTGTTGCATTTTGTCTTAAGCTTGTGGGTCTGATAACACTATATTAAGAATCATCTATTTTAGCAGCAGTGAAGCTGGCATAGCCATATTTACAAAGCATTTAGTTATGTGAGAATCTCATCTTATGAAATTTTAGTTTTGCAAATCATAGATAGTGTCAGGAAGAAACTACTAAGTCTAGCCTAGTACTTGCATGTTAATTGTGCAAAAATGTCAGGATCTTGTATATTTAAAACCTGTGTCTCACAGGTGCTAATACAACCCTGAGATACGTCACTACCGACAAACATCGGGTAAAGTGCAATGTTTTGGAAGGTGCTAGATACAGTGCTGAGATATTTTGCACTGCTGACAGTCAAGTGCATTGTTTGCTACTATATTTAAGAGTTAAGAAATATGGAGGTAGTGGCTATTAAAAGCCATATGAAGGGTGCTAACTATTACACATTGAGTAAGAGACTGAATATAAAATCTGCTTCTGTAATGCCAATAAAACAGTTTTTGTGTGTAACTGGGGCCTTAGGTTCATTTAACCCAAGCTCTTTTGATACAAGATCTTTAATATACCAAATCTGATTGGGGCTGTTGCTATTTAATTATTCATTTTTAAAATCATAATTCTTGCTCTTTAAGTAACTAAAGACTGTTTCAGTTCACTTAAGATTTATATAAAGTTGGAACTTGGGACAATTATATACCATCTACAAGACCTAGAAATATTAAATTAACTATTGAGAAGCTATGCAGTTTTCATCAGTATCAACCGTATGAACCATGTGATGCATTATTTATTGTTATAATTTTACACGAGGAAATGGGATATAAAAATCTGGGCATAAATGTGTTTATACAAGTGTCTTTTCATAGCTCTCTTGTTTGCTGTGTTCTAAGATATGTATGTAAACATAAACACACATGCGTATATTCAGTTGTACATATATGTATATTATATACGTTAATAAAACAAAATATACCTTCAGTAGACCTATTACAGATTTTGCTAGCAGCTTTTGCTAGGCATTATTTGTTACATTTGTTAGGTGTATAAGTGAAATGCATAAGTTAGTAGCCTTTGAACCTGGAAAAGGTGTTGGACAATTCTTAATGAGTAAATTTAAAGGTGTTAACTACTCTCTTAATCCTCTGAAAGACCATACTTTTTTGTAATCTTTTCTTAGATTTTAGTCATGGTATGGGCTATTCTAACTTCCAGTTATTATCACAGTCTATTTGACTAGATAACTGTTATTTAAAAGAAGTGACACATAAATCTGATGGAGCCTCAGTTTTTTTAATTTTAATTACTGCAGTTTTAATTAATTCATTTAACTTGTCATTTAATAGCACCTCTTTTCTTAGAGTTAAGGTTATTAGTAATATCACAGGCCTGCAAATTTAAACTTCATTTTCCATAATTCAGCTACGCAGATTTTAAATATAATATTTATTTTTTCCTATTACTTAATAATTTGATCTAAGTAAGAGTTTTTTATTCTCAATTTGTAAAAAAAAATGCTTATTTTGTTTACCACAATGAACATTTTTTATTATTATGTTTGTTAACAAATATACAAACAAACTGAAGAAAAGGGAAGAACATTGATATGAAATGTATATGCATCCTCATTCATTCTGATATTTTTTTTTGCAAAATCTGCGTGTTTTAGTCTCAAAACTACGTGTTGTGGTCTTTCTTTTATGTATTATGGCGTTTTGTGAAAAATCTGTATGTGATGAAGAAAAATTTGCATCATTTTCTGATTCAGTGTACAGGAATTACTGTAGAACATGTAAAAATTTCAAGACAATTAAACCATTACAGGCCTGTGTTATTGTTTTCTTCAGTCTATTCAGCTGACAGTTCTTGTGCAAGGATTTAATAAAATCAGTTGACAACTCCACATATTTAAAAAATGCACAATAATTTATTGTATAAAGATAAAAGCAATATATAACTGAAATACTCTACAGTTTTGGTGGAATATGTTCCCCCATCTTCAAGAGACAAGAAAAAAAACAGGAAATTTCATTTATATATCAAGTAAATGTATAAGTACAATTTGCATATGGTACAGTGGCAAAATTTACAAAATTGATTTCCAGAAATTTACTTCCGTGACACCAGGACATAAATGTATTCAAAATCTGTTTATTTTTAGCAATTTCTAATGATTCTCTTGTATGTAATTTTTTTTTTTGACTTTACTTCTTTAAGTATTTGTACATTGTCCCACTCAATTATATGTGAAGAGTTTGCCACATGTTCCGCCAATGCCGAATCACTAGTTTTTAATTTATCAACATTAATTTTATGTTCGTTAAATCGAAACTCAAATTTCTGCTTGTCTGTCCAATATAACCTAAACTGCAACTACAAGAAGTTTTACATATTCCACATTTATCCTTTACTTCAATTTTATATTTAACACTATTAATGATATTAAATAATTTTAATTGAGGAGTAAAACATTATTTGACAATTGATATTTTTCATTAACACATTACCTATTTTTGTTAAACAGTGGAATGTATGGCTAACATATTTCCCTGTTTCCCTTACTTATTGTCTATAATTTGGTACATTCAAAAATTTATGGATCCTATCTATAATATCAGGTTCATAACCTCTATCAGTTGCTATATATTTTAAGTAATTAAATTCTAACATTAAATCTTCATTACATAAAGAGACATTAACAACCTTATGAACAAAAGATGAAAGATAAGTCATTTTTTGTGATTATGGATGACACAATTTTGTAATAGGTGTCATGGCAATCGAGAATGGCTTCTGTGTATACCAAGGATCGACAGACAATCTTACAGAAACATCCAAAAAAAATTCTCCTTCCATTCCTGAAGTGAATTGTATTGTGAAGTTGATAGAATTAAGATGTTTCTGGAAATAAATTACTGTGTCATCGCATTTCAGTTGTGCCCCCCCCCCCCCCACCCATGAGGTGTTGCTGTTTAGTTTTTACTGTTTCAATTTAAAAGTAAAGATGCATGTAAGTTCACCTGAAGAACAATGCAACAGGTTAGTTTGACAATACTGTGAAATACCTATAACATTTTTTATAATGGGAGACTTTCAACTGTTTATGAGTATTAGAAAACCAAGATACCCCTGGAATGTATTAGTGCCTTTTTTTTTTTACTTGATTCATCGTTTGTTTTAAACATCTAACTGTGGCAGTCATACCTGAAATTCTGTGATAATATACAAAAATAAGTGCCCTCAAATGATCTTGACATGAAAAGATTCTGCTCTAACAGTATGTACCATTAAAACAGCAAACGTAGGATGATTTTAAGGAAAACAAAATAGGGAGCTGTAATTTAAAAGTATTGTAGTTACTCCATTTGTGTGGATTTGTTAGGTAGGGGTCTTCAGTCAGGAGACTTAGTATCATTGAGGGGGGGGGCATTCAGCCAGAAAGAAATTCTGAATTCCTTGTTTAAAGAATAGTGTCACTATTTTTTATATACATAATATGAGTTTTTATTTATATCTGCATTTACGTGTGTGACAAACTGATGTTATCTTCTTTCCTGTTTGTGAAGGACGGTTGTTTTAAAGTTTATTGCTTTATTTTAAATAGAGATGTTTTTGAAATATTTGTGAAAAAATAATAAGAATGGTATTTTATGTTAAGGCAGTAATACGTTTATTTCATAGATATATAGATACATTTGTGATTAAAACTAATTTGGTGATTTTCAGTTACAGATCCTCTTGCTGAATATGTTTTATTATGTTTGATAGGATGAAGAAAAGTCAAGTTCTAAACAAGAAAAGTTCCATAGTAATTCTACAGATGAACCACTACTTGAAACAGGTTGTAGAAAAATAGATAAAAACAAGACAGAAGATCAAGCTCAAACTTCATTTAATAGAAACAAAATTGAAAACACACAAAATAGTAGAAAGAAAGTTCAGGAAGATACAAAAATAAATAAAAAGAAAATTAATGAAAAACTTAACAAAACAAGTAAAAGCAAATTTGAAGAAGATTTAAAATCAGATAAAAACAACAACTTCAAAGAGGTAAATACGGATAAAAATAAAATTCAAGAAGAATCGGACCCGAGTGAGGTTTTGGAAGATTCGGAGATAAGTAAAAATACTAGAGAAGACACAAAGACACTTGATTGTAAAAAACTAGAGGAAACTAAAGCAAATAAAAACAGATGTGAAGATAATTCAAAGACTGAAAAAAGCAAAGATGAAAGTGAGTCAAAAAATAATTTACATACATCCAAGAAAAAGAACAAATCAAAGAAGAAAAGTCTTTTGAAACTGAAGAGGAAAAGAAAGCGGGAACATGCTTCTGAGAAACACAAGAGCTCGCTTAGTTCAGGCCATGAAATAGAGGATGCAGAACCTAAGAAGAAAAAACAGAAAAAAGATCATGGTTCAACTTCAAAGAGTCATGTATCAGGCCAAGAAAAATCTCATAAGGAACACAGTAACTCTGACAAACAAATTAGTCAAAAGGAAGGGAAATCAAAAAAGAAGAAAAACAAGAAGAAGAAACTGGCTGCCTTAAAAGGAGAACTGAAGCTTGGAGATAGTAAGTTTATTATAAAAATAATAATAATAATTTCACTTGAATCAATTTGAATAAATGTAAATTGAGATCAGAAGAAAATCATCAGGTTATTTTGTGTAAATTTAAAAAATTTAGATATAACATGAAGGTTTTGTATAGAATATTAGGTACACTTTGTGTATGTAATGCAAGGGAAAATGTGGTAAATGTTAAACTGAATGAACATGTTTTCTATCTGGATTTAGTGTGGTTGTTGTTTCTGCTGTCATGCTATAGAGTTTGCTACCTGGTTGATTTATTTAATAGAAATTTGTCTAAATAATGAAACATTAGCTTAACAGTAGAACTCACAAACATGCATGTTATTCTCTTGGTCTTTCCCGGAACTACATATTATATTGGTGTCATGTCACTATACTTTATGTTAGTTCCTACATTCAACTTGAACACGTTTTTACAAAATATTGCAAGTTTAACTAATATACATATTTCTAATTAAAAAATAGTTGGTAACTTGGATATTAACAAGCTTATAAAAAAAATCTAAATAGTGTGATGGGCAGGCATTTAGGGCTAGTCGTTGGAGCTTCGACTTTTACCACCAGTCACACTTGTTTATTTAAATGAGGATACAGTCGCGAGTGGAGCATACAAGTCGCTAACTCGAGGAGTTTACAGTTAGAATAAAGAATGACTTGGAGACAGAGATTACACAAAACATCAGTCTTTAATAACACTTTCTTAAGAGGCAATTACAACACTTACATTAATTGTTGACTTAACTCAGTTAATTTCTCAACAGTTTTCAATAGTTCCTTTATTATTCTTAACAACTCTTCAATCACTGTATTACTAGAGGTATACTCAGACATAGTCAGGTTACTAGCTACATGATACATTTAGTTTCTTATACACTGATCAACTGAGAGAAATAGTATTTGTAACTTACGTCAAAGTTGGAGTGATGAGCTGACTTATTTGAATATTGGATACCTTCAGCATCTCTAACTTGTTACTTACTTTTTGTCCCAGAGAACTGAATGGCGAACAACTTCTAAACTGAACTGAACTTTTGCCCTGGGGAGAACTGAACTGAAATTTCATCTGGGAGAGAACTGATTTTTAGCTCCCAACATGAATTTTTAAATGATATTTTCTCGGTATCCTTAAGAGTTTCCATGTAGTGTGCATAGCTACCCACAAATAGTTCTACACTTCATTGGTTAATTTCTGCAACTCATTGTACTTCCCACAAACAAAACCCAAAACTCTCAAGTAGTTGGTTGTCTGTTGGGGGCAGTGAATTGGTGACCTTCTAACTTGGATCACTACACCACAATCCGTAATGGATACTGCTTCAAGAGTTTTGACCATGGTAGTTAACCCCAACTTTTTCATGCCTTCCACTGTATTAAGAGGTTAGCGTCATCATTTCATCATTGTCAAACTGATGGTTTACTTATACTGGGCTTTTTCCTTCTATTAAGCATCGCTATGATGGCTACGAGCATCAATTTTTCTTTATAGCTCTGTTTTAAGCTAGAGGTAGGCGATTTTTCGTATGCCACCTTCCTTGTGTGGGCATGAAGACCAAAGCTTTTCTCAATTTGTATTTAATTATCGGAGCAATTATATGAAATTTTTGCTACTCCCAATAGCTTCAATAGCATTTTCTTCATGTCGGATATTTTTGTATAAATTTCTTAAAAGTATTTGAGTATTTAGCAATATTCACTAAATGTTTTTTGCTGATTATGTGCTAAGTTCATTTCTGCAAAGTACAGGTCTGATTTTAACTGATAAATAATATGAATAACTGATATGCTTTTCTTATAGGATAATAACAATGAAGTTTATCATTGATTTTTATATTACCAGTGCTTCACTAACACACTGTGATTGTGGTTAATTTTTGTTTGAAGAGAAGCACTGCTTTATACGTATACTAATTATTTCATTGTGGGCAGTATTGCTTTGTACTGTATAGAGAAATGAAACCTACTTAAAGGTACATAACATAATAATGAGGAAAAAAGTCCTTCACCCACCAACCAATGGTAATATCTTTGATAATACCCCTTCCCTTTATTATTTGAATGTGAAATGCACCAGACTACAGTTATCATCTAACCAATGTGAAAGTATCATACTAGTAAAAAGCCTATAGGTAGTCATAATATGTCCAGTAATAGTAGTCTCAATCCAGTAATAGCTACTAAGATTGATATACTGCATGACAAACATGTAGAAATCAAAGTTTTGACTGATCAAGAATGCTCTGTGTAAAGAATTGTGGGAAGACCATATTTCAGTAAGAGATATGTGCAAGACTGAAGAGCAAATATGAAATTGACACTGTTATTATTAGAAGTGTTTAAGATAAAAGAAAAAACTCTTCAAGAGGTATGTTAAGTAACACAAGGTATGTTCTTTATGAGGTAGAAGACAGTCGAGTACAGATCTTACCAACAGCCTCACTCTAAATACAGGTATGAATGTAAACTTGAGAACAATAACATACACATTATTATTGTATGTCTCAGTGGACCTGTAGCTGCTCAAAAGTCACTGCTGAGAAGAAGT